GAGGATGAGGAGGAGGTAAGGGAGGAGGAGCAGCAGCAGTAGCAGGAGAAGAGGCGAGAGCCACAGTTTTGAAAACGACCCGCCCTCTATCTGTGAAACTGTTGCCACTGTTTAGGCGTCATGGTCTTAGATGGTGAGGGGTGAGGAAGCTTCAGGCGAAACGCCAGGCCCGCCCTTTCGACTGGCCTCGGGGTGCGACAGGGAGAAGTCACTTATAAGGAAACGGGATGGAGGAGGAGGAGGAGGAAGAGGAGGACCAGTGTAAACCCAAGGGTCACCAACGATGTTGGCATAAAGCCTCGCTCCAGGCTCCCTCTTCACAGGCTCCTACAAGGGTTCATTTCCACTGAGGGAACTGCCTCGTTTGAAGACAACCGTTTGAAGACCTTGAAGCATGCCACAACATTATTCGCGGGACTCCGACGCCACGGATCAACCTGACTTTTGCGTCTTGACGATCCTGAATCGTGCCAGAACGCAGCTCTTGGAACTTCAACACCGTGAATCAATGAAAGTGTTGCGCCCTCATAGTCTGGAATCTTTTCAGAACGCGATTTCTGGTACGTGGACCATGGGAATCCGTGAAACTCTTACAGTTTTAAAGCGAATGTGCCCAGCGCTAAAGCGAGAGTCACAGTTTGAAAACGAACCGCGCTCAATCCGTTAGAGTCTTTGAGATTTTGAAGCGAATGTACCCGGCGCTCAAGCGAGAGCCACATTTTGCAACCGAGCCGCTTTCAACCCGTGAATTTCTTGCAGATTTTTATCATGAATGTGCGCGGCGTTAAAGCGAGAACCATAGTTTGAAAGCGACCCGCTTTCAATCCGTGGAATTCTCGCAAATTTTCAAAACGAATGTGCGCGGCGCTCAGGCGAGAGCCACATTTTGAAAATGACCCGCCCTTCATCTGTGAAGCTGTCGCCAATGTTTAGGCGTCAGGGTCTTAGATGCTAAGGAATCTTCAGGCTAAACGCCAGGCCCGCCCTTTCGACGGGCCTCGGGGTGCGACAGGGCGAATTTACTTATAAGGAAACGGAATCGAGGAGGAGGAGGAGGAGCAGGAGGATGAGGAGGAGGACCAGTGTTGACCCAAGAGTCCCCAACGATGTTGGCATACAACTGAAGCATGCCATAATATTATTCGCGGGACTCCAACGCCTCGTTTCAACCTGTTTTTTGCGTCGTGACGATCCTGAATCGTGCCAGAACGCCGTTCTTGGACTGTTAACATCGCACATCAACGTAATTGTTGCGCCCTTATACTCCTTCATCATTCCATAACACGTTTCCTGGTACGTTGACCATGGGAACCCGTGGAACTCCTACAATTCGGATGTACCTGGCGCTAAAGCAGGAGCCACAGTTTGTAAACGAACCGCCCTCAATCCGTTAAACTCTTTCATATTTTAAAACGAATGTAACCGGCGCTAAAGCGAGAGCCACATGTTGAAACCGAGCCGCTTTCAACCCGTGAATTTCTTGCAGATTTTTGCAAAGAATGCGCGCGGCGCTAAAGTGAGAACCGCAGTTTAAAAGCGACCCGCTTTCAATCCGTGGAATTCTCGCAAATGTTCAGAACATGATGGACCCACGAACCCGGAAAGGGATATAGACATGTGGAGCATGGGCACGTTTTCACGATACCCAACGGGGCAACACCTCACGAAACATCCCACGAGACACCTCACGAAACATCCCACGAGACACCTCACGAAACATTCCGCGAGACACCTCACGAAACATTCCACGAGACACCCCGCGAAACATTCCACGAGACACCCCACGAAACATTCCACGACGACAGGCAACCACTCAACCAAGGCGGTGTGGTCGTGCTGGGGAGTGGTCGTGCTGGGGTGTGGTCGTGCTGGGGGGTGGTCGTGCTGGGGTGTGGTCGTGCTGGGGGGGTGGTCGTGCTGGGGGGTGGTTGTGCTGGGGCGTGGTCGTGCTGGGGCGTGGTCGTGCTGGGGCGTGGTCGTGCTGGGGTGTGGTCGTGCTGTGGTGAGGTCGTGCTGGGGTGTGGTCGTGCTGGGGTGTGGTCTTGCTGGGTGTGGTCGTGCTGGGGTGGGGTCGTGCTGGGGTGTGGTCGTGCTGGGGTGTGGTCGTGCTGGGGTGTGGTCGTGCTGGGGTGTGGTCGCTGTGGGGTCTGCTGGGGTGGTCGTGCTGGGGTGTGGTCGTGCTGGGGTGTGGTCGTGCTGGGGTGTCGTGCTGGGTGGGGTCGTGGGGTGTGGTCGTGCTGGGGTGTGGTCGTGCTGGGGTGTGGTCGTGCTGGGGTGGGGTCGTGCTGGGGTGTGGTCGTGCTGGGGTGGTCCGCACCCTGTGATTCATCGATCGGGTCGTGCTGGGGTGTGGTCGTGGTGGGGTGTGATCGTGGTGGGGTGTGGTCGTGTTGGGGTGTGGTCGTGCTGGGGTGTGGTCGTGCTGGGGTGTGGTCGTGCTGGGGTGTGGTCGTGCTGGGGCGTGGTCGTGCTGGGGTGTGGTCGTGCTGGGGTGTGGTCGTGCTGAGGTGTCCCGCACCCTGTGATTTATCGATCGGGATTTCAAAAACAAGCGTTTCGCCTGAGACATCCTCAAATTTTAATCCGCCGGCCTCCTTCGACCTCGATATTTATCAGGGAAAGAATCCGCCGGCCTCCTTCAAGTTGGGCACGGGGGATTATGTTTACATACTAAAAGAGAACCCTGGGCCTGAGCCCTTTCCGGGAAAAAATGCTCGCGGCGCTAAGGCGAGAGCCACAGCGACCCGCCCTTCATCTGTGAAGCCGTCGCCAATGTTTAGGCGTCAGGGTCTTAGATGCTAAGGAAGCTTCAGGCGAAACGCCAGGCCCGCCCTTTCGACGGGCCTCGGGGTGCGACAGGGAGAACTTACTTAGAAGGAAACGGAATGGAGGAGGAGGAGGAGGACGAGGAGGAGGAGCAGGAGGAGGAGGACCAGAGTAAACCCAAGAGTCACCAACGATGTTGGCATACATCTGAAGCGTGCCATCAGAAGAGCCGCGGGACTCCAACGCCACGGTCCAACTTGATTGTTGCATTTTGACGATCCTGAATCGTGCCAGAACGCCGTTCTTGGACTGTTAACATCGCAAATCAACGTAATTGTTGCGCCCTTAAAATCCGGAATCATTCCAGAACACGATTTCTGGTACGTTGACCATGGGAATTCGTGGAACTCCTACAATTTTAATGGGCGCTCTGGGCAGCATTTGAGCGCGGGGAGAAGTCGCGCGAGCGTCGTGGCCCCTATTGGCTATCTTCTTGCTTGTCTCTAATGCTGCGGGACGGCTATTCACGGCTGAGGCGGATCCCCACCCTGCGCGCCCGCGAGCGCGTTCTCGTCGCAGGTGAATGGGATTTGTCTCACGCGTGGCCGTCCCGCTGGCGGGATGCGTTTTTCGCGCGCGTTCGCTTGGCCGCTCCGCCGCCTCTTTCTCCCGTCGCAGGTTCCCCCCCCCCCCCCCCTCCTCCCGCGCGCGCGTCGCTTGACCGCTCCGCCGCCTCTCTCTCCCGTCGCAGGTTCCCCCCCCCCCCCTTCCTCCCGCGCGCGCGTTCGCTTGGCCGCTCCGCCGCCTCTCTCTCCCGTCGCAGGTTCCTCCCCTCGCCCCTCCTCCCGCGCGCGCGTTCGCTTGGCCGCTCCGCCGCCTCTCTCTCCCGTTGCAGGTTCCTCCCCTCCCCTCCTCCCCCACAGGTCCGCGCGTCTACTTCGTGGAGAGCACCTGCGTCCCTCGTCGGTTTTGCGGCTCGAAGGTCAGGACACACATGAGTACGGGTCATCCTGGGCCGAATGCCGACCCAGTGCGCAGTATGCCTGCGGATGCCGTTTGCCGGCCACTTGTCCCCTGCGCTGATCTGCAAGTGCGCGCCGTATGCTGGTCCCTTGTGCGCAGTATGCCTGCGGATGCCGTGCGCCGGCAATCGTTCCTCTGTGCAGTATGCCTGCAGTGTGTGCCGTATGCCGGCCATTGTGCGCAGTATGCCTGCGAATGCCGAATGCCGGCCCTGTACGCAGTATGCCTGCGATTGCTGCCTGTCAGCCCCTCTCCGCAGTATGCCTGCGCGTGCGGCTGTATGCCTGAAAGTGGGCGCCGTATGCCGGCCATTAAGCGCAGTATGCCTGCGAGTGCCGTATGCCGGCCCCCCCCCCCCCATAGCGCAGTATGCCTGCGTGCGTTGCAGTATGCCTGCAAGTGTGTGCCGTATGCCGGCCCTTGTACGCAGTACGCCTGCGGTTGCCGTATGCCGGCCCGGTGCGCAGTATGCCTGCGGATGCTGCCTGTCAGCCCCGGTGCGCAGTATGCCTGCGGCGTGCGTTTGCCTGCCCTCTTGCGCTGGGTGCCTGCGGGCTATGTCATGTGCAACCGCCAGCGCGCGATAAGGGCGCCGAGGGGGGTGCGTGCACGGCGCTTTCCGACGCGCGCGCAGCATCCATGGCGCTGGCTCGCTCAGACATCGTTGAGTTGCTTGGCGATCTGCCTGCTGGCGCATTCGGCACCGACAAAAATGCCATCAGGGCGCGCGCGCGCGTCTCCGTGCGTCTACCGCGGGCATGAGCCCACTCGCAGCGGCGCGCAAGGCCGATTGGGTCCTCTTCGTCGCAGCGGCCAACGCGGCGGAGGGGGGCGCATCGCCAGCTCCCGAGCTGGTGCTGTGCACCACGGTCGCGCGCCTGATGGCCGAAGCGATCGGGGCGGTCCGCCCGATTGATTACTCGGATGCGGCCATGCGCGATATGTTGATTGCGGCCCTGAAGCCAGGCGCGAAGCCGTTTGCGGGCGATTCTTCCGCGGAGTGGCGCGATTTCGCGATTAAGCCGTGCCGCATCAATATGGCGCTGCGGACACAGTCGCGAGCGATGGAAGCCTTCGGGCGGAAGGCCCCCGCCCCGTTGGTGCGCGAGGACGCGGGCCGCCGCCCGGCGTGCCGCCAGGAGGGTCAGCAATCGGCCCCGGCGGAGGCGGCCGCCAAGCCCGCGGAGGAGACGACGCGGATTGCGGCGGCAATGGAAGAATACGTGAAGGCCAGCAAGGAATTGCTCGAAGGAAAGCGGGAGAAGCCGCTGGCGTTTGCCATGGAGGCGCGCCGCGTTTTCGCATGCGCGGGCGGCATTGTTCGGGGATGCGCGCCTCGGCAGGACCGCGTGCGCGAGGTCTGGCTCGGCAAGTTCCCCCGTGAGGGATTGCCGACCGAGGAGTCGATGCGCAAATTCGCGGCCGCGGGCCGGACGGCCCAGTCCCATGGCCGCTCATGCATTGGGAGCGCCGAGGGCGAGAGCCTGCAGGCTCCCTGCTCGGCGGCACGTGCAATGACAAGCTTCCGTTTCGCCGATTGCTCCGCGCACAGGACCACTGCAAGCCCCAATGGGCGCGAATGCCGAAGCTGGACTCGGTACCAGCGGGGGCGGGCTCGTGGCGCGATCGCGCGTCGGCCGTCACCGCGGCGAACCGCGCGGGTGCGGCCCTGGACCGAATGGATTTTCTCGGTTATGCGCACTTCCAGGTCGCGCGCGACGCAGCGCAGCGCGCGCGCCCACGCGCGCCCCGTGGCGCGAGGCCCACGTAATGGAGTGGGGGCTTCGCTGCATCCTGTCCAAAGTGTTTGATCCCGTCGTGCTATTGGGATACATGTACCAGCTCGCGCGCGTGAGCGAGGAGCACGGGGGCGTCAAGGCGCGTCCGCGGAGCGGCGGGCCCGAAGCCCAGGGAGCCGCGCGCGGGAGCCCGCGCCGCGTCCAGGTTTCCTACACGTACGATTTGCTTCTCCGCCAGAAAGTGGCGAAAGACCTGGAACACGGCGACGAGGATGCGACGGCCTCGTTCACTGCGTTGTCGTGGGACATTCTGCGCGCCGCCAAGGAGCGCGGCGCTTTTGAGTGGCCGCCACCCTGGCATCGTGCATCGCGCTGCGCGCTTGAGGAGAGAGTCCAGCAGTCGGACCGCCAGGCGGCGTTCGCCAAGGGCGGGGGCAAGAAAGGCGGCAACGACCGGCGCGACCAGGCGCGAGCCCGCGCGTGCGCGCCCCGCGAGCGCGAGCACGCGTCGCGGCGCGCGAGGCGGCGAAGCCACGGACCCCGGTGAGCCCTGTCCTCCGCCAGCGCTCGCGCAGCCCCCGCCGCGATACCTTCAGCAAGAAGGGGGGCGGAAAGGCCGGCAAGGGCGGGGCTCCCAAGGGCGCGGGGAGCTCGTGGCACAAGCCTGAGCGAAAGGAGTCCTGGCGGTGGTGAAGCCAGGGCGCCGGCGCTGTGCATGCTAATTATTCGCCCGCCCGAGGCGCGCTCCGCGCGCGCGCGCGCGCCCCCCCCGCGGGGGCGCCGCGCCAGCCAGTGATGCAGACGACGGGGCCTCCCCATTGCACCCTGCCGACAGCGGCGAGGGCGCAGCGTGGCGCGGGCCGTCGCCCGAGGGGCAGGGGGCGCCGCCAGTGCGCCGCGCGCGAGACCGCCCCGCCCGCGGCGAGCGCAGCGCAGGACGCGGATGTTGATTCCGACGACGGCGCCGAAGGCGGGGGCGGCGACCTTTGCCCCCAGCAAATCCACGATGCCGGCTGCGCATTTGAAGAGGCCCTTGCCCGCCACTCTACGGGGGCGGAGCCGCGAAGCGCGCGCGCAGATCAAAGCCGCCGTGGATGCGTTGCTCGACGACGAAGACAAGAGGGCGGGCATGAGCCCTCTTTGCCACGCCGCCTGGGCGGCGCGCTTGCCGCGGGTCCGCGAGATAGCGCCGCTTGCGGGACCGGAGCGCGATGCGGCGGTGGCGGCGAGCCAGACGAGCGACGCACTCTTGCAAGAGAGGCGCGAGGCGGCGTTGCAATTTTGGGGAGAGCGCAAACGTGCGACGGCATCAGAATGGAAGGCGCCGCCCGGCACGCCGCTACCGCGAAGCACCGGCGGAGAGCGCGGTCGGGCGAGGCACGCTATGCGAAGTTACCATGGCATGTGCGCTCCGTCCTTGGGCCTGACAAGAACTTGTTGCTTTTGGCCGAAATGATGCAAGCTGCTGGGGTGACCAGCGACGCAGCGCGCGCGCGACAGCGGGGCGCGGCTCCGTGCTTGAGGCGTCCGACGAGAATTTGACGCGTGACTTGGAGCGGGGCTTCCCGCTAGTGGGGGTCCTGCCGCGCTCGGGCATGAACGCGCCCGTGACCCCCAAGGGAGCCGAATGCCCATCCGAGTTGCGCAGCCGAGCGGACACTTTGAACGCCGCCACCCTCGAGCGCGTGTCTCGGGATCTGGGGACCGACGCGGAAGTCACCCAGATTTTGCATGATAAAGCATACGAAGAGGCGCGCGCCGCGCAAGCCAGCGGGGACAGTCGCCCATGCTGCGACGTCCGCGAGCGTGCAGGTGGCCGCGGGCCAGGCAGCGTGGGTCCGGTTGTCCGACCTGCCACGCGGGGCGGTGTTAAACCCGCGATTCCCTGTAGACGAGGGATGGCGCTGGAAGTTGGAAGAATGGATACGCAAGGAATGGCGCATTCGCCGCGGCATGCACCGTCCCCTCCCCTGGGCGCCGCGCCGGGAGCCAACGCGTCCAGGTACGCGCGATCGACGATTTCACTGCCACGGGCGTTAATGACTGCGCCGCCGCAGCCGAGAGGTGCAGGCGGGCCCTTTCCCCCCCCCCCCCGCCCCTCGCGCGCGCTGTCCGCTCTCCCGTGTCGCCGCGACCGCGCGTAGGGTGGATTCTCTCGATGCTCTGGTCGAGCTGGCGCGGATCGCGGCCGCGGCCGGCACGCCGGTGCTGAGCAAAGAAGATTTCATCGGTGCTTACAAAACGTTGCCCGTGCGAGGCGCCGACCTCCCGTTGGCCCATTCGGTATGGGCCAAGGGAGCCCGCGAGGGCTACTGTCTGCAACTCTTGAGCTGCCCCTTCGGCGCCGTGGGCAGCGGATGCGCTTGGGGCCGCGTTGGGGCGGCGCTCCAGGCGCGAGGCGCGAGCGCCGCGGCGGCACGGCGAGCGCCCCGCGAGCGCGGCAGGCCATCCTTGCCAAGCTGTTCTCGCTCGCTTCGGGCCGATTCGTGGACGATCTGTTCCGGGCCGACGCGGACAGGGGGCCCGGCACGGGCGGCCCCCGCGATGCCGCAGAGGTCCTGAGGGCGGTCGTCGAAGACCTTTTGGGCTGGCGCCTGGACGCCGGCAAACGCGTTGTTGCCGAGCCGAGGGCCACTGTGCTCGGCGTCGACGCGGAAGTGCGCGGATCGGGCGATGAGCTCTCGTTAGTATTCGCGATCGGTGGCGACAAGCGCCACAAATGGATCCAAGAGATCGAGTGGGTGCTGGAGGCAGGGAGAATGTCGCCGGCGGCGGCATCAAAACTTGCCGGCAGACTCGGATGGGGCGCCTCTGCGGTGTTCGGCAAAGGCACGCCCAAGCTCCCGCGCGCGAGCGACGCGCGCGCGCGAGAGCGACGGCAGGTGCCCGGGTATACCTCGCCCCGCTGTTCTGGCACGCGCAGCAGCGGGGATGGAGGTTGAAGTCGCGGCTCCGCGGGGCATTGGAATGGTGGCTGCGCTTCCTCCGGAGCGCGCCGGAACGAGCGGTGCCCCTGCGGGTGACCCCGGAGCGGCCACGCTACCTCGTCTATTCCGACGCGACGGGCGGCGGCAGGCGACATACGCGCGCGCCTGTTTGGAACGGCGCCCGCATTGCCCGGCCCGCCCCGCCTCCGCAGGCTCGCGTGGGTCATCATTGGGCCCAGCGGTAAGCGCTATGCAGCGGCTGATGTGCCTTCGTCGATCAAGCGGTGGACGAAGCACCGCAAGACGCAGGCGGGGGCGCCCCGGCCACGCGTAGCCTGGCGGACAGCCCGCCGTGTTGCGAAAGGTCGCGGCATGGGAACTCGTCGCGGCCGTTTGCGCCTTGCATCATTTGCTCGCGACGCTGCGCGATGCGGAAATCGTGTTGTTTGTCGATTCGAAGGCGCGGCCGGGCGCGGGTCGCCGAGCTGCCCGTGCGATGCTCCGCTGACCGCGCCAGGCCGCGCTCGGGGTGCTCCTACGCGGGACCTCGCGCCAGGCAGATTATAACGCGCTCGTGGCAGATATTTGGTTCGCAGCAGCGACCGCGCGGTGCCTCCTGAGCGCGTGGTATGTGCCATCCGCGCTCAACGTGGCAGACGCCCCTACGCGGCCCGCCACGAAGGCGGCCGCGATTGCGGCCATGCACCGCGAGGGCTTCACCCGAGTGGCGTGGCCATGGCCCCGCGCGGCGCCCTGGCATTCGCGCGGGCATGCATAGCAAGTAGCACAGGGCAATTTGTAGGGGGCGCAAAGGCTTGCGCGGCGAGCGCGTGACGACCAGGCCCGCCGCGAGAGGGGGCCCGCGGGCGCCATGCTTGCGTGCTTGTCACACGCGTCGCGGTGGACGCCCGAAAATGATTCGCATCCGGTAGGCGCGGAAGCTCTGCAGTGTCTGACATCCATGCTCGCAGCCGAAGGAGCGGCGTATCCCCCCGACCTGTCCGGATTCACGGCGAAGGAGGCGAGGGAAGTGTTCCCGTGCCTCCGGGAGTGGTCAGAGTGCTTCACCGTGACGCTTATTACTCACGCGCGTAAGCTGACCCACGAAAAGGCAAAGCGGCCCCGGGAGGACGATGCAGCGGCATCGCTCTCCCAGGTCGAGCGCGCGCGCGCCACTCCGCCCCATCCGGCGGAGCAAGCAAGGCCGGCCGCCGCCCGCTGCCCCGTGGGCGCGAAGGCGGCGGAAACGTTACTCGAGAAAGCGGCCAAGTGCCCGGCACCGGCACCGGGCTTGCGCGCGAAACGCCGGCCCGGCGGGGGTTTGACGCCTCAAGAAGCCCTCGCGTTGCTCTCAGCGGCAAGGCAGGCACGGCAGGCACCACCGCGCGGCGCCACCGTCCTCGTGCACCGCGCGCGGCGCGGAGGTACCAGCGCCGCCGATGCTGGCAGAGGCAATCCGCCAGCTGACGAAACTCCAGGCTCCGCCCGCGATATTCATAAGCGAAGGCGGCATTCCGCGGGAGGTGCGCGCGAGGCAGGACATCGGCGCGCGGCGGGTGCCAGGAACACCTCGTCGGCGCGCCGAGGAATTGCGGGTGTCAGGAGCAGGACTGGAGTGCATGCGCCGCATCCAGATGGCCGCGCTGTGGCGAGAATTCCACGCGTGGAAGCTCTCGGCATACCCGTATGCCTCGGCGGTGGAGTTGTACGGCCAGGCGTGCGATGCGGCAGGCGTCCCGCCCTGGCCGCCGTGCGCCATCGCGCGGGACATGATGGTGGCGCTCTGTCGCCGCCCGGGGACCCTGTCGAACTATTTGCAGGGCATTCGCTCAGTCCTGCATCTGCTCCGCGCAGACACAGGGTCTTTGGCGGACACGCGGGCCCTGGTATTCGGTGCCCGAAAGGTACGGCCGCCGCGCGCGTCGGCCGCGAGCCCATGATATCGGCGGCAGGCGGAACCGCCTGGTGCGCAAAGATTTCGTGCGCGCGTCACGGCCGAAAGCGTGCGCGCGATGTCGGGTTGGCTGCGCGAGGCGCGGCCGCGCGCTCTTCTAACTAAGCGGCCTGCCGTGCGTGCCGGCCCGCGGGCCTGGCGTTTGGCAGATCGGACGCGGCGATATGGCCGACGCTTTCGTCATATGCTGGCAGTTCTGCTTGCGTTTCGGCTCCGAAGTAGTGGGGCTGAATGCGCCTGGGCATAGTGCCGTCTCGCTCCACGTAGACGAAGGAAAGCACCAGGTGCAGGTGCAATTCCGCCAGCGGAAGGGGAGAGTGGCTCCCGACCCGGCGGGCCGAGCGCGCGCGCGCGGCGGGGCGCGCCCCGGGCTCCCCGCGTCGCGAGGTCTGGAGGGTATGCGTATGCCAGCTCCAGGGCAAACGATTGTGTGCGGTCTGCATCATTCGGCATTCGCTCCGGCCCGGCGAGCAGCTCCTGCCGGGCGTCTCTTACGTGGACGGGCTGGCTTGCGTCAAGCTCGCCGCTGCCCACCTCGGGCTCCATAGGGCATTGGAGTGGGGGGCGCGTTGCTTCAGGCGCGGCCGGGCCGGCCAGGCATGGGCTCCCCTTGCCGTCCCCTGCCTACCCAGGGCCCGCGCGCAGTTCGTGTCTCTCGCACGCAGGCGCTCCGCACCGGGGGCCAGCAGCGCTGTTCTTCGAAGGGGGTTGGAGATCTGTGGCCGCGTTCGGGCACTCCATTCCGACGGGGGGCGCGGCCGCGCTGCCTGGGTCGCGAGGGCGCGGCGCTTGGCGGCGCGCAGGTGCCCGGCCGCAAAGACGCGAGCCATGGTGCTGGCGGCAGAAGCCGACATCGCGCACTCCGATTCCGACGAGGCGCCGCCCTGCAGGCATCGGGGTCGGGGCTCCGCGGCGGCGCGTGGCGCGCAGGACGCGCCGATCGCCGCGGAAGCGGTGCAGGGGCCGCCCAGGCCGTGAGTCAAGCAGACCAGGCATCTGCGGTCTGCTTAGAGCGCGCTTGGGCGTCGTTCCGCCGAGCATGCATCGGGAGGCGTCGGCGAGGTTGCTCGGCTCCGCGACGCCGACTCGCGCTCGCCCCACCGCCTGGCCTGGGCCTGCGCCAGTCGACGGTTGTGCCCTGCGTTAGCGCGGGCCCAGCCTCGACGCGACTTCTCATGGGCGCTCTGGGCAGCATTTGAGCGCGGGGAGAAGTCGCGCGAGCGTCGTGGCCCCTATTGGCTATCTTCTTGCTTGTCTCTAATGCTGCGGGACGGCTATTCACGGCTGAGGCGGATCCCCACCCTGCGCGCCCGCGAGCGCGTTCTCGTCGCAGGTGAATGGGATTTGTCTCACGCGTGGCCGTCCCGCTGGCGGGATGCGTTTTTCCCCACCCGCCCGACCCTGCTGCGCGAGCGCACTGGCGTCGCAGTGGCTGCTAGTTGTGTCGAGGCTGGGCTGACCCAGCGCCAGGCTTGGGGGAGGCGTCGGCGAGGTTGCTCGGCTCCGCGACGCCGACTCGCGCTCGCCCCACCGCCTGGCCTGGGCCTGCGCCAGTCGACGGTTGTGCCCTGCGTTAGCGCGGGCCCAGCCTCGACGCGACTTCTCATGTACCTGGTGAAAGCGGGAGCCACAGTTTGTAAACGAACCGCCCTCAACCCGTGAAGTTATTGCAATTTTTCAAGACGAATGTGCGCGACGCTAAAGCGAGAACCACAGTTGGAAAACGACCCGCTTTCAATGCGTGGAGCTCTTGCAAGTTTTCAAAACGAATGTGCGCGGCGCTAAGGCGAGAACCACATTTTGAAAACGACCCGCCCTCCGTCTGTGAAGCTGTCGCCAATGTTTAGGCGTCAGGGTCTTAAATGGTGAGGCAGCTTCAGGCGAAACGCTCGGCCCGCCCTTTCGACGGGCCTCGGGGTGCGACAGGGAGAACTTACTTAGAAGGAAACGGAATGGAGGAGGAGGAGGAGGAGGAGGAGGAGGAGGGGGAGGACGACGAGGAGGAGGAGGAGGCGGAGGAGGAGGACCAGTGTAAACCCAAGAGTCACCAACGATGTTGGCACACAACTGAAGCGTTCCATCACATTCGCCGCGGAACTCCAACGCCACGGTTCAACCTGATTGTTGCGTCTTGACGATCCTGAATCGTGCCAGAACGCCGTTCTTGGACTGTTAACATCGAACATCAACGTAATTGTTGCGCCCTTAAAATCCGGAATCATTCAAGAACGCGATTTCTGGTACGTTGACCATGGGAATTCGTGGAACTCCTACAATTTTAAGGTACCTGGCGCTAAAGCGGGAGCCACAGTTTGTAAACGAACCGCCCTCAACCCGTGAAACTCTTGCAACTTTTCAAGACGAATGTGCGCGACGCTAAAGCGAGAACCACAGTTTGAAAACGACCCGCTTTCAATGCGTTGAGCTCTTGCAAGTTTTCAAAACGAATGTGCGCGGCGCTAAGGCGAGAACCACATTTTGAAAACGACCCGCCCTCCGTCTGTGAAGCTGTTGCCAATGTTTAGGCGTCAGGGTTTTAAATGGTGAGGAAGCTTCAGGCGAAACGCCCGGCCCGCCCTTTCGACGGGCCTCGGGGTGCGACAGGGAGAACTTACTTAGAAGGAAACGGAATGGAGGAGGAGGAGGACGAGCAGGAGGAGGAGCAGGAGGAGGAGGAGGAGGAGGCGGAGGCGGAGGCGGAGGCGGAGGAGGAAGAGGATGTCCGCAGAAGGCACCCGTACCGCCACCGTGCCAGGAGGGCGCGTGTATCGTGCCAGGCCCCAGGGCGGCCCTTGGCCGGGCGGGGCGGTGGTGTTTGGTCAGGGGCGCCGACAGGCTTTGACATTCGCCGAGATACTCTTTTCAATCCGCGGCCCCAGAGCTCCCGACCCCTTACAGTCGGGGCGCGCATCGAGAATCCGTCTGCTTTTCGTCAGGGCAGCCTGGATCTCTTCGCTCCGCGGGCTGCGCCGTGACTTGCCACAGCCGTGGAAGAAACGGCTGCGCTCAGGGTGCTCTGGGCTACCCCTCAGGTGCACCTCGCGCGGGTTTTCAGGGCTGGGTTTCTTGCGACTGCTTCTTGCGGCCGCGCCCGCACTGTACCCTGGGGGTAGTTTTCCGTACCAGATTCATGTTTCATGGTCCCAGGGCCCAATAGCGTGGCCCAGAGGCCGAAATCGAGTCAGGACGCCCGGGTTGAAGCAAACAGTTGGTCGGAGATTTTTTAGAGGGCTGGCGGCGGGAGGGTTGGTTGGCACAGGGGAGGAAGCATCGCCCCCCGACCGAGGCCAGGCCTTTCAGCCGATCGGTGGCATTGTGGACCTGCTGACTCTGGCGCAGAGCCTGTGCACCGTCCGCGGCCACGCGCTGGGGGCCCGCCGCGAGCTGATGGCGGACGCGCTCAAGGCCCTCGAGCAGGTCAAGGAGCCCGGACAGCACCTGACGTTTGGAATCCACTGCCCCTCTGGTCTGATGCAGCTGTATAGGAGGGGGAACAGAGGACGGAGTGTTTACACAGTTTGGAGGAATTCGTGAATTCAGTATGGGTCGGGCTTGAAACGCCTCGAAGAAAGCGCGCGCGCCCGAATCGCAATCATATGGCTATATGCGGACCCAGGACAGTTTGCTTCCCGTCGTCGGCCTCGCCCTTGCTCCGTTCCCCTTCCTTTCTTCCCTCCCCTGGATGATGTCGAAAGCGTCCGCGGCTCGGGCGGGGGAGAGCCCCTGATCACCTCCCTCATTATTCCTTGTTCCTCTTTGCTTCCCTGCTCCACCGTCCGTCGTCCTACCTCGTCTTCCATCCATGCTCGAAAAGCGGAGTCCCTGGTGCCGCGTGCCCGCATCAGTGGTAGATCGCCTTTTCGATATCCGAGCACAGCGGAGCAACCAAACAGAGGCGATTGACAACGTGAGCGTTCGGGGCGCACTCCAAACGCGGGCGGCACGGCCGCCGAACACAGTCGCATCGCTAACATGTAAATTATAGGTGCCTGCGGCAAGGCCCGCCCCTTTACCAGCGCAGCGGTCTGTATGGCGACGAGGGGAGCTTTGACTGTTAAGAGGTCCGTGGCATGTGACACCTCTCGTGTTTTGGGATTGCTGCGCGGCATTTTTCGGGGTCATTCGAGGCCTTTTTCGGGGCATCTTCGGGCCGTTGGGGGTCGCTTTGTTGCCGCGTTTCACCGCGGCCGCCCTGGGCCAGGGAAGCGTGTATTTGCAGCTCCCTCGGGGGCGCCCTGGGCCGGGGAAGTGTGTATTTGCATCCCCCCCTAGCTGGGCATGTCGACTTCGGTTCTGGGTTGGCAAAGTCGGGGCACCCTCGAGGTGGCGAGCGTTCACCTTTCCGGAATACACAGATCAAGGTGTGATCTGTGTACACAGTTTGTGTCTTCAACTGTGTATTTTCGTGTGTGGGCCCACTGTTTACACAGATCGTGGTGTGATCTGTGTACACAGATCTCGTTCCCATCTGTGTATTTGGAGTGTGCGCCTCGCGGGGGGTGTTGACTGGGCGGGAACTTACACGTTTTTCGTTCGGTGGTCCAGGGGGGGTGTCGTGCGCAGTCGAAATACACAGTTCGTGTTTCCAACTGTGCATCTGTCGCGCGCCGCTCGGCGGAGTGGTCACTGGGCGGGAGTTTCCGCGAGTCTCCCAGCTGGTCCACCAGGGGGCAGTTTGGGCATGCAAAGGCGCGGGGGGGTGGGGATGGTGGGCTGTGGGAAGGAAGGGGTTCGATAGGAGGGGCGGCCAAAGAGGCCAGGGATGAACCGGAATGGACGAGAGGGGAGGAAACGGGCCTAGGAGGAGCTGCATCATCGGTGTCACCATCACATGGACGAGGGGGGCGGGGAGGGGCACATGGAGGGGGCATGATGTGCACTAGGGCGTCGAGGATGGGAGGAGGGCAGGCATGTGGACGATAAGGGGAATTAATCCGGCGGAGGAGGACGACGAGGAACGACATGAATTGGCACATGGGGGGGTGACAATGTGGATGAGGGGCATGGTGAGGACCGGGGGTTATCGGAGGGGCATGAGGAGAGTGGGGCCTAAGCGAAGGGATCTTGGAAGGCGGCGGGGGATGGGGCATGAGTTTGAGGGCGGGCGCCAGCTAACGATTAGCTGAACAGTGTTCTGCGTATACGCGCACCCCCCCCCCAGAACACAGTGACCTGTTGTAGAACTTCATGATATGGGTAATCGTGCGCTTCGTGCTTCCAGGCCACAGGCTCGAGTCGACGACGCCCCTTGGCGTCGCGTTGATGCCGCCCCGATTTGCCAGACCGCATATGCACAGATAGGCATAATATGTGTTTGAACGTTTGTTTCATGACCCTCTCTATAGTAACAGACCCGCGTTGGAAACCAACCTGACGTATGATCTGAGGGGCATCTGAGGAATGTATTTCGGTGTGGCCCAGAACGGCGCGGAGGTCCGAGGTTCGAGGTCTTGGGCCGTTTTTGTGGTCTGCAGTGGTTTTCCAGCCTGTGGATGCTCTCCAGCAGCTGCGCCTCGCCGAGCGCGTTCTGGAGGTGCCTTGATCGTCCAGGACGGCCGCTGGAAAGACGAGTTATGGCCCGAACACAAAGGGGGCACCGACCGATTATTTAATCGCTTCGCTCATTCCGCCGGCCCACATTGTATCGCTGGTGCTATATTTTTGTGTGTTCGTGGCGAGCGAGAAGAAGTTGGAGGAGGGGGAGGAGGAGGAGGATGAAGAGGGGAGGATGAGGACGAGGAGGCGGTCTCTCGATGGCTTCTTGGAGTATTTTTGGGGCCAACCCTGGTCGTGGACAAGACGCCTCTTTGGGAGGCTTCGTGGGGTCTCTTGGGAGGCTTCTCGGGGGCCTGTTGGAGGTGTTTTTGGGGCCTCCTGGGGCCTCTTGGGGGCCTCTTGGGGCCTCCTAGGGGCCTCTTCGGGCAAAGATGTCGAAATGCCCGTTCGGGTCCCCTGTCTGTGCCCTCTCTTGGAGCCGTCTTGGGGGTGTATTGGGCCGTCTTGGAGGCCTCTTGGGCAGTCTTGGGGCCATCTTGGGCCGTTTGGGGGCCCTCTTGGAGACCTCTCGGGCCGTCTTGGGGCGGTCTTGGGGGCCTCTTGGGGCGTCTTGGAGCGTCGGAAGCTGAAAATGCGAGAACGCCAAAAACCTTCAAAAACCAATGGAAAATCAACGATTTTTGCTTCTTGGGGCCGTTTTTGGAGGCCTCTTAGATGCTTCTTGGGCCATCTTGGAGGCCTCTTGGGCCGTCTGGAGGCCATCTTGGGCGTCGTGGAGCGATCTTCGGGCGTCTGGGGCACCGACCGATTATTTTCTGTTTGGCTCGGGCAGACTCGGCGAAGTTGCCCATTGCCCCTGTTCGCTGAGCGGCCTGAGCCACCGCAGCACGCACCGTCTATTTACTGTCCTAACCCCGATTGCCAATCCAGCCCTCGGGGCGGGTCGGCCAATTCTGTCTGGCTGAGCGGAGCTCCCCCACCGAAATTCCGCCCTTCGCTGGCATGGACCTGGGAGCTGCTTCGCGCATGACCCGGGCTCGCGACGGGGACGTGGCTGACCCGGGTCAGCCGGGTCAGCCCGTCCTCGACCTCTTTCCTCTCTCACAGTCGCCCGCCGCCTGGGAGAGAGGCTGGGGGGAGGCAGGGAGATGGAGAATGAGGATGAGTACGAGGATGATGATGATGAGGAGGAGGAGGAGGAAGAGGAGGAGGCCGTAGCCATTTTGGCTCAAACCTCCACGGGTCTCTCGTGGGGGCTCCAATCCAACCTCTGATCAAGGTGGTTGAGCAAACCAGTAAGCTACGGCCCTTCCAACTCTGGAGTTCATGCACTGGCAATGGGAACACGCCCGCAGTCGTGGAGTTCGCAGTCGTGGAGTTCGCAGTTAGCAAGTTTGTGCTTGTGGGCAGTGGATATCTGTCTTCCGCCTCAAGCACAAGGATAATCAACCGTGTTAGAATTATGATCGCCCTTGAGTGTCTAAACATAAGAGAGAGCGTGATCCACCGCCGCTTTACTGTGGAAAATTGCCAACCTTTTCCTCCGGAACCCGGGGGTCTCCCCCCCCCCCTCCGAAAATCCCCCCCCCCCCCCC